AAATCCTCAAAAACTTTACAGTCTACCCTCCATGTCATAGTTCTGCATCCATGGGTTCAACCAACAATGGACCAGGTAGCACTATAGTACGTATTTACTGAAAACACCCCACGTTTAAGTGGGCCCATGCAGTTCAAACCCATGTTGTTCAAGGGTCAACTGTACAATGAAATATTATTCAGCCATAAAAAGGAATGAAGTACTGATAAACGCTACAACGTGGATCAATCTTGAAAACATGCTAAATGAAAGAAGCCAGACAGAAAAGGCCACATATTGTACGATCTCATTTATATGAAATATTCAGAAAAGGCATACCCATAGATATAGAAAGTATAATTAGTAGTTGCTAGGGACTGCGAGGGGGGGAGAATTGGGAATGCTTGTTAATGGGTACAGGGTTTCTGTTTGCCATGATGAAAACGCTCTAAAATTAGGTAGTGGTGATGGTTACTATATAGGTATGTACATATATATGTATAAATAATATGGTTATTATAAATATATCTACTAAATATCACTGAATTTTAAGTACACTTAAAAGGCAAATTTATGGTATATGAATTATATCTAAAAAAATCCATAGAGCTTTTTGGTGGGATGCAAGTCAGAAATATTGCAAGCTTTCTTCAGCAAATAAAATTAAAGTTCCTTTACTTAGTGACCCCTTTTTCTGTAACAAATTCTATCACTTAGAACAGTGCCCAGCACTTGGTAAGGACTCAGTAAATGTCTGTTTGTTGAATGAATGATTGCCATAGGCATAAAGGAGAAAGAGGCATTAGCTGGGTTGACATTTTTAAATTAGATGATTTGAGAAATCAAATCTGCTCATCTAACCATATAAAAGTGAGGAAAGCTATTACATTATTGAAAAAACCCAGCCACCGCTTTTTTCTGTTGCTGGTGTCAGGTTGGGCAAATTCTGAGAAAGCACTGGGCTGTCCTCATTCATTTTGTATCACCCACAGTCCCTCAAAGGATCTCTGACTCAGACTCACTCCAGAGAAATCTTATAGACAGGCTTCCCCAATCTCTCCTCCTCAAGGACACTTCCTTCCCACAGAATCCGAATGAGACCAGACTCATTGCTGTCCCTTGATTAAGAGAGAGCTTATTAGGAATGACTGACAGAAAAGTAACCAATCTTTCTCAAAGAAAGCAACTTGCTTTCTAAGCTACTTCCTCTAAAATCACTGAGGATGACACAGGAAAAATGAAGAGACCAGGTAAAGCAGGAAATCTAATTCCTGTTAAGAATAGGAATCAACAGGGACTTCCCTGGTGGTGTAGTGGTTAAGAATCTGCCTGCCAATGCAGGGGTCACAGGTTTGAGCCCTGGTCTGGGAATATCCCACATGTCTCACAGCAACAAAGCCTGTGCACCACAACTACTGAGCCTGCGTGCCACAAATACTGAAGCCCACGCGCCCTAGAGCCCACACGCTGCAACTACTGAAGCCCACATGCCTAGACCCCGTGCTCTGCAACAAGAGAAGCCACCGCAATGAGAAGCCCGTGCACCACAACGAAGAGTAGCCCCTGATCGCCACAACTAGAGAAAGCCCGCGCACAGCAACAAAGACCCAACGCACCCAAAAATAAATAAATAAATAAATTTATTTACTTAAAAAAAGAATAGGAATCAGCAGGCCCGGGATAAAGGGACCCTCCAAAGTGAATTAACACCTTCTGAACACCTAAGTGGCAGGTGCTGTGAGCTATACAAAGGCACAATCCATGCCCTTAAGGGAAAACACGGATGTAATTATTTTAATTATGAAAGCATGAAGTGCCAAATAGAGATAGGAGCAATTTGCCGAGTGCAGGAGTGATTCATCCTGACTAGGAAATCAAAATAAGTTTCCTGGCTGCGTTACTTGGCTTATACACCTTGGCTTCTATCTTATGATTCTGACAGACTAGATGTGATGGGCATAGCAGGCTGGAGGAACAGCATGAGCAATACATGAAAATAAAGTAAAACTCAACTGGAATGCACAGTACATCAGATGTAGGGAAGAATGTGGCAGGAAAAATCAATCTGGATCAAATTGGGAAAAACCTTAGTTCCACACTTGGCAGCATAGGGGCCTTTTTGGAAATACGAAGAGTTTGGAGACAGATTATTGCCAGGAGTCCACTACAATCAAGGTGGGGAGTTGCTCAAGCAGTTAAAGTAGGATAGAGGACAGACAGGATATTGAGAACGGACTGAACACAGAAAATTAAAACAAAGAAGAGTCAAAAAAGCAATTCATCCTCCAAGATCCAACAGGCTACAGGGATTTTTTTAGATAGCCACTTACTGCCACCTGGCGGACAGACAAGACCTTCCCAGCATGAGCAGCATCAAGCCACTTAAGATGTTGCACATTTTTCTAATAAAAAGTTAATACTGAACACTTTATCCAGCCTCTTGCTAATCAGCCTCTAAAGTTTCCGTACTCAGCTTATGAGACACTGTTCTAGTTGAATCTAGTTAGAGAAGACTCCCAAATGCCTAACAAATGACACAATGGGAGGTAGATGATCAAATATTAAATTATGGGATGGTCGATACCTAAAATTTCAGAATACAAAACCATTTGGAAATAAAAAACAAAAAATATTTGGGAGGTTGGCTGAGGCTCCATGGATATGGAGAGCCATTTCTTTAACCTAAGATTATCGAAGAGAGCATCTCGGTCAGAGGCAATCATGAACAAAAATCCTAGGAACAGAAGTGAACATACAGAGGTTTAAATATTTACAAACTGTAAGTAATGGAGGGTCTACAAAAAGGGGTGTGTGTGTGATATAGTACCAAAGGCTTTTAAGACCAATCTAACATTAGAATATAAAATGGAAAATTAGGTCATTAACACAACCAAGTAACTCAACTACTAAACTTAAGGATACTCAAACAACGAAAGCCACTTGTCCTAATTAATGGAACAATCCAAAATAAGTTAGCTAGGACTTCCCTGCTGCAGTGGTTAAGAATCTGCCTGCCAACACAGCGGAAAGAGGTTCGAGCCCTGGGTCTGGGAATCCCACATGCTGTGGAGCAACTAAGCCCATGCACCACAACTACTGAAGCCTGCGTGCCTAGAGCCCATGCTCCGCAATTAAGACTAGGCCCCGCTCGCCGCAACTAGAGAAAGCTCACATGCAGCAACAAAGACCCAACGCAGCCATAATTAAAAATAAATTTATAAAAAAACGAAAACAAGTTAGCTGAACGTATTAAGTGGCCACTGAACTACTAAACGTAAGCTTCGCAATTATCTTTAAATGTTAACTTTTATTAATAATTTTTTTAATTTCTGGCTGTGTTGGGTCTTCGTTGCTGCACACAGGCTTTCTCTAGTTGCAGTGAGCGGGGTCTACTGTTCGTTGCGGTGCACAGGCTTCATTGCAGTGGCTTCTCGTTGCAAAGCACGGGCTCTAGGTATGCGGGCTTCAGTAGCTGTGGCACATGGGCTCAGTAGTTGTAGCTCGCGGGTTCCAGAGCGCAGGCTCAGTAGTTGTGGCTCACGGGCTTAGTTGCTCTGGGGCATGTGGGATGTTCCTGGACCAGGGCTTGAAACCGTGTCCATTGCATTGGCAGGCGGATTCTTTTTTTTTTTTTTGCGGTATGAGGGCCTCTCACTGTTGTGGCCTCTCCCGTTGTGGAGCACAGGCTCCAGACGCACAGGCTCAGCGGCCATGGCTCACGGGCCTAGCCACCCCGTGGCATGTGGGATCTCCCCAGACCAGGGCACGAACCCGAGTCCCCTGCCTCGGCAGGTGGACTCTCAACCACTGCGCCACCAGGGAAGCCCCAGCAGGCACATTCTTAACCACTAAGTCACCAGGGAAGCCCTAATTTTTTTTTTTAAATTTATTTTGGCTACATTGGGTCTTCATTGCTGTGCACAGGCTTCTCATTGTGGTGGCCTCTCCCATTGCGGAGCACAGGCTCTAGGAATGCGGGCCTCAGTAACTGCAGCACAGGGGCCCAGGTGCTCCGCGGCACGTGGGATCCTCCAAGACCAGGGCCCGAACCCATGTCCCCCGCATTGGCAGGCAGACTCTCAACCACTGCGTCACCAGGGAAGTCCCCCTAATTATTTTTTTTCCTCGTTTTTTGAGCCTACCTTGGGGTAGAGAAGACAAAAAAGGCTACCCAGACGCCAACATAAGAATCTAGTGCTGTTGATGTGGATAATTCATTTGCACATAAATTTTATCAAGAGGACACACTAAAGTGCTATTAGAGCACTCTAATCTGGCCATTCCTTTATATTCCCAGGCTCATTTAATGTACCTCTCAAATGCCAATCAGGGCTACATGCTTTCCAGAAAACCCCATCAAGCTCAGCTAAACGCACAATGTTCCTGCTAGTTGTACTTCTGACTCCTACTCCTTAGGTGGGAACTTCCCCTCCACAACACCAGCATTTCCAGAAAGGAGAATTAACAGCCATCTGGGATTTAAGAGACAACAGGAAGATAAATAATCCATACACCCAAAAGGCCAAACATTTTTTATTTTCAAAAACAACTTTATTCATGACACATATTAAAAAAAAAACTCCCACCCCCTGGAAATGAGCTAAAAAAATAAACAAAATCCACCTCCCACCTCCCTGTCCCCACTTCCTCCCATTCCCTCCAAACAAAAGGGAAAAAAAGGCAAAGGAAAACAAAACAAAACAAAAAACTGAAAAACAAAAAACACCCCAAAACCCCCCAAAACAAGGTAGTGCATTTCCCCAGGGGAAAGGGGAATTTACACTGGAGCCGCTGGGAGCGGATCGGAGATCTTCCGGCTACAGAAACCTGCAAAGAAAGACACTCAAAACAGAAAAAGAAACACAAAAGGAAACAAAATAGATCACCAGGCAATCTGGAGGGGCAGGGAGCCAGAAAAGAGGGGTGGGGTGGGTGGTAGACCTGGCAGGACAGGAACAGGCAGGAGGGGACTGTGAAAGCTAGGGAGAAGATGGAGGGAAGGTAACAAGCAGAACAGTTTGGTGTCCTTCCAGAGCCCTGGGTAAAAAAAAACCCTCCTACCACCCATGCCCACCTACCCTTGAGCAGCCCGCAAGGGGGCAAAGGGGCACAGGGAAACAGGGGGAGCAGCTTGCGCGGTTGAGACGTGTCCATGGCGAATCCCCAGAGTGAATGAGCAGCCCCCTGCCCCACTCCCTGGGCCTTCCCTTACTCCCCAAAGCAGGTCCCTCCTCAGCAGTTAGTTATGGGATTCTCCCCCCTTCCACAGTATATCTTTTTTTTTTAAAAAATATTTTTTTCCATCAAGGTCATCTTCTGTTTTTCTTTTTTTTTTTTTTTTAAATTCTTTTTTTTTTTCCTTCTTTCCTCTTTTTTTCCTCTCTCTCCTCCTAATACACACTTTTTTTAGTAAGGGGAATACCATGATGTCGCTCTAGCCCGGCCCCTGGAAGAAAGAAGGAGAGTTAGGTGTTAACATGATCACTAAATAGTTCAGCACAAGCCCCTCCCCGTGGGCCCTCGCCCCAGTTATTGAGAAGGGAAGAGGGGAAAGAAGTTTCCCAAGTCCTAAAACTGACCCCCACAATCCCAGAAATAGTGACACACCTGGCAAATGGGAGTGGGGAATTAACTGTTATTACCTCGCCAAACAGTGGCAATAAAGAAATGCATCTGAGACATAGGGGCAAGAAAAAGGACTCATTGTTTATCCAGATTCCAGTTCTCCACAGCTCTTAAAAGCGAGGCTCTCACCAACAGATCCTCCCTAACTCCTGGGAGCTGACAGGTAAATCTTATGAAAAGCCAAGGTCTATATGCCTAAACTGTCTATTTAAATGTAAAGAAACGGAAGTAAAGTGAAGCAACAACATGGGTGCCACACTAGGCCCAGCAAGAAAGTTGCAAAAGACTGGCTAAAGAGTAAATATCTCGATATCCTCCCACATGGCTGTTGAGGAGGATCAACTAGCCTCTGGTTTTCTTCCAAGGGAGGTTCAAACTTCAGCCCCTCCCTAACTCTGAGCAAAGTAGCAAAGGTCCAAACAGTGCTTTCACTGCTCTGAGGCCCTGTTCTTCCTGGGAGTTCTGTGTAAACACCTTCACTGCCATCAACTCTCAAGGAAAAAAAGGCTGGGTGGAGAAGCATCTCTCAGAACAGGGTGGAGAGATCCAGCCCTTATCACCAATTCCTGCTCCAGAAAAAGATGAGACTGGCCTCCTGGCCTGCAACTACCTTCCTCACCCTGCACAGGCAGGAGACCAAGTCCCCAGAACCAAGGGGAGGGTAAAGGAGGGAGGTTCCTCAGATGAGGAGAGAAGGAAGCATACAGGGCTCATGGGAGGCGGGGGAGAGGAGCAGCCCATCTATCCTGACCTGTAGACGCGACCCCGGGGCCTGCTGTTAAAACCACTGTAGAATCGAGAACGGGAACTGTTGTAGTTGGTGGTCCGGGCACGGTATCGGGCTCTCGGGAAACCCCGGTCTGTTGTGCTGATGCCTGGTCTGTTGGTTCGTTTTGGGATCACCTGAGAATGACACGTACAACACAATGCCTTAGAGCCAAGCTGGAGAACTTACAGAACCAGAACAGCAAAGGGCACAGGGCTTACCTTGATTTGTCTTCCTCTAAATAGGGACTCATCTAAGGCCAAAGAAGTCCTCACTGACTCTTTGTCTGAGAACTCTATATATGCAAACCTGAAAAGGGTAATTGCCACTTTATCTGAGGATACAAATAGCAGCTCACAGGTCAAATCCAACTTACAGGCATGCTTTGTTTGAGTACAGTGTGTTCATATTTTTAATTATTTGTCAAAAAAATTCTTAATGGAAGATTTTAATCAAAATTTGCAGCTACTCTTGGAAAATTATAAGATAGGATACAGAGGGCCTGGTTTTCCGCAAGGCAGAAAACGGTGGGGGCCATGCAGAAGGCGCCCCCCCTTATAGTTCATGATCCCCCCCCACACCCAGCCCCCATCTCTGTTATCTGTTGGGCCCCTGAAGGCAATTTTATGTGCAATCCTTGATATGTATCAACATTAACACCTATCTTAAAAGACAGACTACTTACTTTAACATCTAGGTAGCTTACTGCTCAATATAAAATATAATTTATTTATTTTTTAACTGTGACTAAAACGACCTCAACTTCCCCACTTACCCTTTGGGATGGCCACTAAATTTGTCACATAGTATAGTAACACGGTTGACTGAACCACAGCCATGAAAGTGTGCTTCCAGCTCTTCTGCTGTTGCACCATAGTCCACCTGTGGGGGGGGTACATTTCACAGGTAACAGGGCAAACTCCCATCTCCACAGGTACTCTGCCTAGCCTCTGCGCTGGGCCATCCATACACACCAAAGCACACCAATATCTAGCTCTCTAAGGAACTAACCTCTTTTCCTTCCAACCCCAGAGCCTCTGCTAATCACCATTACCTTTCACCTCATTCCAACCCTCCCTCCACCCCTTAAATCCACCACCTACCCTGGAAATGGTTCCTTTCAAGACTCCTAATAAATAATCCCCCAAACTAAGAGATTTCCCCAACCCTAGTCAAGGCTCTGGTACATACATTGCCAACATAGATGGAACGGGCATCAGCCTCCATCTTCTCCTCAATGGACATGATCACTGGGCCAGCTTTGAAGAAAAAAGGATCAGGAAAAAAACGCTTGTTTTCTACTTGGCCAATCTATGCACCACTACCACCACCACAAGCAGCAGCAAAGGTAAAGATTTTGGTCTGTTCTGTTCCCTGCTGTACCCATTACCTAGAAAAGTCTAGCATGCAATAGGTGCTCACCAAATACTTGAAAAATTAAGGAATAGATTAATACAGTCTTAAAAATCAAAGAAAACAATACAGGGATTCCCTCCTGCCCCCAAATCAAGTACCTATTGAGTAGCTTCGGTTAAAATGATTTGAAAAGTGAACAAAATTAAGTCGGCTGAGGCTGGACATTTCTAGATTAGAGGAGAAGCCCCCTGAAGCTGAGCAGTTTATCTTAGAACTCCTAACTAAAGGTCTCCAACTGAAAGAAAAACTATTGGACTTGAAGGTCAAATACCAGCTGGCAACCTCCAAAAAGGGTAGTGGAAGACTAAGAACAAAGAGCAACACATTTGTAACAGGGACAAAGGGAGGCACAAGACTACCATCACCAAAACATAGGCCCCGTCTCACAAAGGTCAGAAAAACACACAATGGACTATGACTGCAGCAACTGCCCAGTAATTGCTCAGACAAGCAGCTCCAAGGTTCCGAGCATCTAATTCCATATAAACCGTGCTCCGAGAACCCTTCCAATCTCAGGACCCGGGTTCCGCGTGCAACCGCCAGTTACTCACCATTGCCTGGAGGTGGACTCATATTCATCTGCTTCTCTACCTCGTTCTGTAGCTCTTTTAGCTTCTCAGCTTCTTCCTCCATCTCCCTGACTCGAGCTTTGATCGCTTCCAGCTCCTACAATGAGTGGGGAGGGTATGGAGAACAGCTTAAGAGGAACCAACGCAGGGGCTCTACCCTGCTCTCCTTCCGCGCGCGGCCCCAGCCATGCTCGGCCATTTCTCTCGCCCGACGCGAGGGTCGTAATGAAAAGAAAACCAAGCTACCTTCTCTAGAACAACACTAGGCACCCATGACGCCCGAATCAACCCGGCTGGGCCCCTTCTGGCGGTCGAGGCTGCCTCCCCAGCCCGGCCCCAGCCACGTTATTCCCCGCCCACCCCCATCCCCCGCCCGCCTCCCGCTCGCCTGAGCTCTGGGCCTCCCGTGACACGGCCGGCCGGCCTGCTCGCTCGCCCTCCTTCCCTCACCGGGTCCTCAATGGCGCCGTCCCCCGGGTCACCCTCGACCAGTCCCGGCTCCTCCTCCTCCTCCTGGCTGCCGGGGGCTCCCGAGCCAGGCCCAGGGCCCGGAGCTCCCGGGGGGGGCACGGGGCCGGGGCGGCTCCTCTTCGGGCTCGGGCTCCGGCTCGGGCTCCAGCAGCAACTCCTCAGGCTCCAGTTCCTCAGACTCCAAGCCGTTCCCGTAGTCCCCTGCGCCCCCCGGGGCCCCCTCCCCGGCCTCCCCACCGGCCCCGGGCACAAGATGGCGCCGCCGCCCCGGCCCGGAGCCCCGACCGCCCGCAGCCCCCGCTGCTGCTGCCGCCGCCGCCGCCGCCGCCATCGCCGCTCAGACTGGGGCCAGCCGCCCAGCGATTGGAGAGCTGCGCCGGCCACGCCGAGGATTCATTAGTCAAGCAGCCTGCCCGTCACCACGAGCTAGGACTCCATTGGGGAATATTACTAGGCAATCAAATAAGACCCCATCCCTAAGGCGGGGGATTGCGCCAAATCCTTAAATCCCGGTAGGAGAAATCGGTCTGTCAATCAACACTCGTCCCACCTCCTCTCAAGTCCTTAGGTAACAATACCGCCTAGCTGTGACGACATTCCTGCTTCTCCCCCGCCTAAGGGCGGGTCCGCGAAGTATGACGGTCGGTGATTGGCCGCTGGCAAGGCGAGTGGAAAGGACCAATCTTCCGATCGCTTCGCCGAAGTGGCCCAACCTCAGATGCCGATTGGCTCGCGAGATTCGAAGGGCTGACACCCGTTTCGTGACAGGTGAACCTTGCCCCCGAACGGACTGCCGGGCTCCCAGTGAAAGCCGAGGTCACATGACTGGTCTTTAGGAGGCGGCCATCTTGATGCTGCTGGTTGCCAACTAGTGAGTTCTTGGAAGGCAGAGTCCGGAAATACTGCGGCGGTTTCTGGAAACTGGTCTTCTACCAGGAATGCACCAGTAGATGGGATGTTGCTGGAAATGGAGGGTTCTGAATGGCGCTCTCTGGGAAGGAGCTTATCTTTCCCACCCAGGTTACTGGCACCACCATCCACCAGGTCTCCCCAAACCAGAAAGCAGGGAGGAATCCTCACTCCAGTACTAGTCATGAGCCGTGTATGTGCTGTCTTCCTGCACAGGCATACTTTCCAAGCATTCTGCTCATGCCCCAGTTTCATTTTTTCTTTTGCTTGGACTGTTTGCTGCAGCCGCTTAATGGGTCAGCTTCCAGTGGGTCACCACTCCAATCCACACTGGCCAGGTTAACTCTCAGAACTCCTTACTGAGGTCTTGGAGACCTCCAGACCAGGCTACTAAGTGCATGTTGTTTCCACACTCTTCATTCCAGTGGGTGTATCTGCACCCAGGTCTGTGCCTCTGTACATGCAGTCCTTCTTCAGCCAGACCACTGCAAACCCTATCATCACCTCCTCTGTGAAGCCTTCCACTAACTGGCCTCCCCTCTTCTCCCATGACAAGCGGGCCTACCTCCACTGTGCACTTAATCATTTTGTGCTTCCTTTCCTAACTAGAGCTTGTGAGAGCTTGGAGATGAGAGGCTGGATTCTATCTACATTTGCATCTCCACGGTGGAGCAATATGCCTAGCACATAGTAAGTATCCAAATAAATGTTTGTTGACCAAAGGATACATAGACTGGGGATCTGGGTGCCACCCTTCATCTACAGCGCTTTCCCAGACCCTCCTTCAGACCCCAGAGGAATTCCACCTCATCGTTGCACTCTGAGGTACCAATGAGACCTAGCCCTGGAAAGCAGGGTTGCCATAGTTTAGTGGTGATCCTACACATTTATTAAAAAGGAAGGAACGGCAGTGCTAAGTTTGCAAGAGGGATAGCTGCAGCCAGACCAAGCTATGGTTTGAGAGCCAGATTCACATGAGCCCAACCAAATAGTTACTCAAACAACCTGGAGAGGATGTACATGACTTGGTAGAGGGATTTGAACAAGAGGAGATTCCTACTAGCAAACCAAAAGTCAAAAGCTTCACAGTATACCCCACTCTTCCCCTCACCCTCATTTTTTCACACAAATCCTTACCTCAGGAACAGGAGAACTTGGAGCAGAGTCACAGTTGCTTAAAATTTCACTGAAAATTACTTCATCAGCCATCTCAGCTTCAGTGGTCTGGGAGAACTAAGTTGAGCACCGCAGACAAGCTCTAAAAGATTGTGAGTTTGCTGGAAGAAAAATCTTTTCTACTGATTTTAACCAAATCAAGACTTGGATGTTTATTGATACCTAATTTAAACTAAGAAAGCCAGTTAAGGGAAATGTGATTTTTAAAATAATGCCTTTGAACCACAGTTTTGTTGAGCACTGGATTTTGTAACAGGCTGCATCCTGGACTCCTTGTTATGTTATCTCATTGAACTCTCATAACATTATGAAACAAATAGTCCCCAAACCATAACCTTTTTTAGGGATGAGGAAAGAATGAAGTAACTCCCCCAAGTCATAACTAATTAGAAGTGAGCAGGGAATCCAAAACCAGATTTCAAAGCTCAGATCAAAATTTCTGTAAGGTCTGTTTTAATACACAAAGATAACATTACGTACAATGCTGAAGCTGGAAAAAGACTAAATTCCAATAAGAGATAAATGTTTAGGCAAACTATAATTACATCACAAGATTATTATGCACCTATTTTTATTTTTTTATGCACCTATTTCTTTTACAAAAAGGTTTACACGTAGTGTGTGATAACTTATAAAAATAATTTTTGTTAGGCCAAAGAAGTAGGATGTAAAATTGTATATAAAGTATGATTAAAATTATGTATATCTGATTTTTTAAAAAAACAACTTGGGCATTGGAGAAAAAAAGGAATAAGAACCAGTACAATCTGTTCTTTGGCAATATGCAACAAAAGTTTTTAAAATGTTGAGGTTCTTAACACAGTAATTGTATTTCTTATCATTTGTTCTAAAGAAATAATCTAAAACCTAGGTAAACATCTGAGAATAAAGGTGTTCTTCAAAGTGAAAAAAAATGTAAACAACTTGATTGTCCAAGTGGGCACTTTTCAGGAAAATTGTTATACACACATATATGTAATTTTATATAGTCATTATGTCTTCAAAACATTTTTAATGACAAGGAAAATGCTTGCAATATAATGGTAAGCAGAATTGCAATGTACAAAATTGTATATACAAAAAAAAATTGTATATACAGTATGATCATAAAATATAAGCACAAACAACTGATGGAAAAAAAATATACCAAAATGTTAATAGTGATTCTCTCTGGGCAGTAGGCTTATTATGATTGATCTTCTTTATAATTTTCTATATTCTATGATTTTTCCCACAATATTGTATATTATTTTTATTTAAAATTAAAAAAAACACTTGGGCATTGGAGAGTGCCCAGCTTCCAAACTTACTCTAATAAGCATGATTACTTTTACAAACACATTTTAAAAAGATATTTGAATGGTGATCTGTAATATAGTTCCCTATTAGACTGAAAGTGTAAAAGGCAGGGACACCTTCTTAATTATATTTGTATTGCCATTGGCTATCACTGTGTGCTCAATAAATGTTAACTGAATGAATGATCTTCTGTAATAAATTTATATCCTGCCTGTTGTTGATGCATAGACAACATCAAAGAGATAAGTTTTCCTCTGAGAATGAATTTTTTTTTTAATTGGTATGTAATGATGTAAGATTCACACATTATAAGTATACTTTTCCTTCAGTAATAATCTATCAATAGAGGGCCATGGAGTTCCGGAAAAACTGAAACTCAGTGATGTTTTGCCCTAGAAGAAGGAAAAGTGTGTTAACAAAAGTGAATGATCTGTTGAGTTGAGAAAAGGAGAATTAAATCAGTAAAAATGGATGAGGGCATGTCCAGTTCTGTCCAGAAGGGAAAAGTTTTCTCACTAAACATATAAATACTTGGCTTCCTAGTAGTTTCATCCCCATTTTTAACTCCTGCTTTGAAAATTTTACATTTACTGGCTGCAATAATTCCCTCTAATCTAGAAGTACATTGTTTACTATGGTAGCCGCTCGTCACACGTGGCTACTGAGCCCTTGAAATGTGAATGGTGCTGAATTGAGATGCGCTGGAAGTGTCAGATATACACTGAATTTCAAAGACTCAGGATGAGAAAGATACTTATGTAAAATAACTTAATAATTGTTCAGTATTAATTACAGATTGAAATTATAGTAGTCTTTATATACTAGGTTTAAAAAAATACTATTAAAATTAGTTTTACCTGTTTCTTTTTGGTTTTTTTAATGAGGCTACTAAAAAACGTAAAACTACATATGTGGCTTGCATTATATTTCTTTTTTTTTTTTTTGACTTTTTAAAAATTTTGATTGGAGTATAGTTGCTTTACATGACTTGCACTATATTTCTATTGGACAATGTTGACACAGAACCTTGGAGCCTTGATCATTTACTTACCTCTGTTTTGGAGCCAACTCCAATTACTTTCTAATGCAAAGTCTGGCCCGACCTACCTTAACTCCCTAGGTCCAACCTTGCATGGAAGTGGGGTGGCCATTTAAGTGAGAAGGAGCCTCTCTTGGGCTGCTTAATTTCCATTCTGCTTGGTTAACTTTTAGAAGACTTTGTACCTGAAAAACTTCTTTTTTATATGTTCCTTATAAAAAAAATCCTAAAATACTGATAGCAAAAAGAAAAAATAAAATCACCCATAAAATCCACCACCCAGAGATAATCACTAATGATATTTTGGCATATACCATCCTGAAACTTTCAATACACAAATACATATAGAGGTATATATATGTGTGTGTATATACATATTTTTTTTAGCAAAATGGGATCATACCATATATTGTTTTCTAATCTATTTTTTTTACCTAATAAGATAACAAATATTTTTCCATGTCAATAAAAATATTTTTCCAATTTCATTTTTCATGACTTTACTCAGAAGTTACCTTAGAAATGAGGCCTTCCCCACTCACTCTATTTAACATTGAAACCTATACATACACCTTCCCATCCTACCCTAATGAATTATTTTTCTCCATAGCATTTGGCACCTAACGTGAAATGTTATGTTAATGAACATCGTGAAATTTATTTATGTAGGTAGGTAGTTATTTAGCTTTTGTTTGTTTCCATTACTAGAATGAAAGTAACATGAAAGCAGAAATTTGTGCCTGTTTGTTCACTTCTCTACCTCAGTGCCTAGAATTGTCCTCAGCACACCTAAGACGCTTGAATATTTGCTGAATGAATGAATGAATGAATGAATAAAAAACTAGATAGCATTCCATTATATTATGTTTTCTGGTTGATTTTTAAAATATTGTTAATTTATTTGTATCTCACCTGTATCCACATTTAAGGCAGCTTTTAAAGTTTTCAAAGGATCTGCTCTCAACTAAAAACACAGAATATTTATAATCCATCCATTTGCTAGAAAGTGTAACTAAATGTTGCCCAATTTTTATCAAAAGTATCATTTGGAGAAATAACATTCACAGAGAACTGTCTGAAGAATAAACAATCCATCTGTCCATTTAGATAGTCTGAAATTTAGCCCTATTTTAAACTATGGCATCATAGAGCATATTTGAGCTAAACTGTGACGATCCTGATAGAACAAGCTTAGGACCTGCTGAATCCCCATTTGGTGTTTCTGCAAGAAACGGTAGTGTAAAAAACAACATCATATTTGCTGTCAGGTGTTATAGAGGGTGGTGTCCACTATATCATTCAGTGTCTTCTCAGAAGAGCCACAAAACTTTTTGCCTACCTTGAGGAACTGAAAGGTTTTACAAATCCTAGGAGGGATGTGAATCTCATTGGTTTTCCAATTTTCTTTAGCTGCCAAGAAGCTCAGAGTTGAATTCATAGCCTACCTTTAGTATTTGGGAATACTGCTTATAGAATCCTTTTCTGTGTTCGTTTTCCTTTTTGCTGTCATTTTATTATAATATTTCAATTTTCCCTTTACCCTTACTTTAAAAATCTATATTTTCCTATTGTTTTGTCTTTCGTGTATTATAGTAAGATGCTGCAAATGCTTTTTGGAATTAGGCAAACTATAAACCAGTCAAACTACAGTAGGGATAAATACACTAGCTATCATAGCCTAATGATATTAACTATTAAGAGCATCTAATTCCCTTTTCCCTAGAGCCATGTTCACCAAGCCACTCTCTGATTTTAACATGGCTTGTCCCGTAGATTTTTCTATATAGAGAGAATAGAAATACAACACTGGATTCCTCTAAGCAGTGTATTTCTCACTACAATTTAACACATAAACCCAAATACCATTATATTGCATTGGATTATAGAAAGACTAGAAACTCCCACTTGTGAATTAAAATTAAGATCACTACTCCTGTCAGACATGATTTTGATGTGGTCCTAGACTAGAAGTACAGAGGGATGGGCTGAACAATTCCTGTAGATCCCATCCAGTTTAGCAGTTTGCATTACAATGGCTGAAACCAAATGTCTCGGGAGCAGGAAAGTAAGCAAGGGCTCCATTTTTGCCAGACTTATTTTAAGCCTGAAGTAGGCAGCAGGATATTGAGGAGAAATGCTCATTATCACATACTTCTGATTTAGCAGCTGAACCACAACAGGGGACTTGATTACATCATAAAGATTTTTGGTAGGTTTTGTTTGTTTTGTTTTGGGTTTTGTTGTGGCCATCCCAAAGTAACATATACACACACCCTCTCAATGCTTGGGTTGGCACAGATGGAGTTCTTGGCTTTGGGCATTTGGCTAGGATGGGGGGATGGGAGAACAACTCTGATTTTCTTTTTTCTTTTTTTTTTTGTCTGCATGGCGCAGCTTGTGGGATCTTAGTTCCCTGACCAGGGGTCGAAACCGGGCCCTTGGCAGTGAAAGCGCAGAGTCCTAACCACTAGACCGCTGGGGAATTCCCTCCATTTTTTTTTTTTTTTTAATTTTTTTATCTCAATACTTTCCCAAATCCCTATTAATCTAATT